CTGGCGGGGAGGGCGGCGGGCTCGCGTTCCGGGCTGCTGCTGGATTCTCCCGCGTCCGCTTTGGACTGGCGTCCGGGCGCCGAGCCCGCCCCCGCGCCTGCGCAGACGCCTGCCCCGCGTGGGCGTGGCCCTTTGCGCTTTCGGTGCCAGGCGCCCTGGGAGCCTCTGGGGAGCGCGCGGGAGGAGAGGCTGACGGCTGAGGGTCCCGGACAGGGAGCCTGTGGACCTCGGCTTTGCTAGTAAGAGCACCGCCCAAGTCCCGTCCCGTTTAGGGCTCCTGGGTGGCTCGAGGCGCGGCTGTTGCCAGACCTGTGAGAATGCGGGCGGTGTGACGGGAAATGTCCCATCGAGAGCCTTCGGTGTGGCGGTGTGGCTGCTGACACGCTGCGGGATGCACAGAGGTGTGTCCTGTGACCACAGCCCTCGGGGCCCAGGACGCGGCTGGAGAGGCCAGAGGCGCATCTCTGAGATCTCAGCGCGCACCGTCGTGCCCTGAATAACGGTTCGCTGCCAAAGAGATGCCCGCAAAAAGTGCCGGGCGTGCCCCATAGGGTGGAAATGGTTTTGTGAGCCAGAATTTGCAAGTTTAGTATTGATGAATTGTTTTTTTGGGGGGGGGGCGGGGATAACTTTTTTACCACTTCTGAAGATATGTTTCTTAAAGAACACTTTTTTACACTATTGGTTTTAAGTTAATACTATTCATTTTAAAATCCATATAAGTAACTAAAACTTGTTTTACACTGTTTAATAGAAACAATGAATTTACCTGGTTTGCGTTACTTAGCAGTATTTTGTAGTTATTGGCACCACGACTTGAGTTCCAGCTGTGATAAAGCCTTTTCCCGTCAATATCACCTTGGAGTCAATCTCTTAAGCCTGTTTCTCCAACTCTAAAATGAAATTAATAATAGTAGCTGTTTTATGGAGTTCTGAAAATTAGGATAAAAAATGAATATAGAACATGATTCTTGGCATATAGTGAACACTTAATAAATGGCAGCTTTTATTGACAGTAGTATTGGCCCATTGATTGATCTTTTAGGGTTAAGAAATAGAATACAAGTCCTAGCTGGTTTGGCTCTGCAGATAGAGTGTCGGCCTGTGGACTGAAAGGTCCCGGGTTCGATTCTGGTCAAGGGCACATGCCTGGGTTGTGGGCTCAATCCCCAGTAGGGGGCGTGCAGGAGGCAGCCGGTCAGTGATTCTCTCTCATCATTGATGTTTCCATTTCTGTCTCCCTCTCCCTTCCTCTCTGAAATCAATAAAAAAATATATTTTTTAAAAAAAGAAAAAGAAATAGAATAGAAGTCTCTTTGGAAATAAAACTGTACTAATGCAATGCACCCAGTCCCACTTTTTTAAAAAACCAACCTATATAATAAAGAGGTAATATGCAAATTGACCCTCACACCCTCGCAAAAAATGGCCACCCCCATGTGGTCAAAAGATGGCTGGCAGGGGAGGGCAGTTGGGGGCGACTGGGCTGGCCAGGGAGGGCAGTTGGGGGCGACCGGGCTAGCAGGGGAGGGCAATTGTGGGGGACCAGGCCTGCAGGGGAGGGCAGTTGGGGGCAATCGGGCTGGCAGGGGAGGGCAGTTGGGGGCGATCGGCCTGCAGGGGAGGGCAGTTAGGGGTAATTGGGCTGGCAGAGGAGCAGTTAGGCGTTGATCAGGCTGGCAGGGGAGTGGTTAGGGGGTGATCAGGCTGGCAGGCAGGCAAGCGGTTGGGAGCCAGCAGTCCTGGACTGTGAGAG